GTTGCTAATATGAAAGGAGGATATTTGCGGTGACCTTGAGAAAGCGTGCGCTGATGGCTTCTGACTTTAGAGTCTTGTCGATGCCATCTAGGATGTATTTTTAGGTCTCTGTTTTGAAGAATCATCAGCGTTCCTTTTTTTTTTTTTTTCCTTTGAATATTAAAACTATGTTTGATTGCAAAAACTCCTGCAGTTAACCCGGAGTCTGAAACTTTGGCAATTTTTATTGAATAGGCAGCACAACATGCATACCGCCTGAAGTGTTGGACATTCTGCTGCCTTTAAACCACAATGAAATATTATTTAACAATATTTTCTACAACACAAAGCAGGAAAGTATTTGGTAGCACTTTATTTGAAGGGTGTGCATAAGACTGACAGGACACCGTCATAAGCACGGAGTCTTTGTGAATGTTTGTAATTGTTGTCATGAAGTGTCGTTTGGTAAATAATGACACTTTTAATGCAAAGTTGACACTTTTAATGGACTTTTAATGCAAATTTTAGAGCAAATAAAGTGTTACCACATACCTTTATCTAAATTATTCCATTGTATTTATAGTTTTATCTCTAGGTTTATTGTCCTGCTCGAAGGTGAACTTACAACATGACTTTTAGTTGCCATGGCGACAGATTCTTCCACATTCTTCCACATCTGGATCTCTGCAGTCGTCAGGGATCTCCGGGTTGTTTCCAATGTCGAGTATTTCCATAAAATGCTTAAAGCTTTAAATATTGTCACGATATTGAATTGCTTTAAAATTCTCCATGACTCGACCCATGACAGAACACCTCTCCTGTGTTTTTACTCAATTCCTTTTGTTTACTAATGTTCCCTTAAAACACAACAGTTCTAAGTCAGGCAAAGATTAATAATTTTATTGTCTAATAATAAATATTTTTACCTTCCTCAGTTTCACGACAAAGAAAAGGAACCAGTTCTGTCAAAAGTGAGAATCCTTCTTGTTTTCATGCTTCCAAATGTCTGTTGTTGTTTTTTTTAAAGTCACTGCTTTGATCAAAAGGTTGTTGTTTTTTTCTTATGTGTGAGAATTAAAAAAAAATGCAACAGATCCAAAGTAAACAGGATGTAAAACAGGAGCGATGTTTTTTCTTCTTTTTTTTTTTTTGTACAAAAGCTGACAAAGCTGATCAAGTGTGTAATGAGTAAATTAATTAGCAAAACTGTCTGAAAGTGGGAACTAGGTGAGATAAGCCTGGAGAAGTTAAAGAGGGAAAGGGGGCCGGTCTCCGCTGGATACCGGCTTCTTCGTGAGACTCGGGCGCGGCGAAGACGGACGAGGTGAGGGATAAGAAAATCAGAATTTCAATTACAAGAGGGCAATTGTTTTTTATCTCGAGTGCAAGTTAATGAAGCTAATTAGTCTTTGCAGCATGAGCCCTCTGGCAAGTCAGATAATCGCCCGGAGGCTCAGATAGTGCCAGTCAATTTTTGGCTTAATGCAGTGCGGGGGCAAAACAAACAGGTTCTTATCGGCCCTGCAGACATTACACTCGGGATTTACATTAACTTGGAGACCTCTTTCACCTTCCCGGGTAATTTATTGGTCAATTACATGAGGCATCTACTGCATAACATTGATTACTGAAAAGGTATGTTAAGGCCTGTATGACCAAGATTTCTTATGTTGAACAGCGAAGTGGATGGAGGAAGTAAGACGATCAAAATGATGTTGCAGGAAGATAAGTGTATCGAATTTTTGATAATTAGATGAACTAAGAGTAAACTAAATGAAGAAACAAAATATGTTAAGTTATACATATTTTGTAGTTATATCCACACATTTAAAACTCTAAGATGGCTCAATATGACAGTTTCATATTCGGTTTATATGAGATTTAAACCTAAATCCATTATTAAACCACTTGTTCTATCAAGTAGCATTTACACTTAAACCTAAAATAAAACCTTACATTTTGTGGCCAAGTTATTTTGTTTTGTTTCTAGTATGATCAAGAAACTGTAGGTGTGCTAAACTTTGAAATTTGAATTACCAAAGTGGAAAATTTGAAGCCAAAGATGTATCATGGGGGTGATTAGCACATGTTGGGAACAGCTGATACATTACGACAATAAACAGAAAACTATAGCTGTTTGGGATCTGGGATAGTTTGAGTTTGGTTTTGGATTTTTGTCATTTTTGGTGTTCCTTAGGTTTTTCTAGTTGTTTTCTGTTCCAGTTTATTGTGTTTCTTTAGTGAATTTCCTGTTTCTCTCTTCCTCCTCCTTGGCCTGGTTCCTGCTCTAACTACTCACACCTGTAATCAATTGACTCATCAGCTCAGGTCTTTTATCAAACTCACAACTCCATGGTATTTAAGCTCCTCAGTCTCGTCCAGAACTTGCTGGATCCTCACGTCTACTCCCGTCATGTCCTGTATTCTCCCAGTTGGATGTCTTTGGATTTATTATTTGAGTTTTGCTCTGGCTCCACTGATTTTTTTTTCTTATTCTTCTTGTTTTTTCATTTTTTTCATTAAATACTTTAAGATGATCCAAGCTCCCAGTTCTAATCTTCTTTTTAATCCAACTAAACCCAGACCACATGACGGTAGCGCATGTAAACGGACACCCAAAGTTGCCCGATGCAGTAAAAAAAAAAAAAAGTTTCTTGGATGGATGATGTCAACTGGTAGAGATCCACAAAACTCATCTGTCCAAGCAAACTCCTGCAGTGGATCCTCAAAGTGGAGTGGATCAGCAACAAAACATACGTCTCTGGAAAAAATTAAGAGACCACTTAAAATGATCAGTTTCTCTGATTTTACTCTTTATAGGTTTATGTTTGAGAAAAATCAACATTGTTCTTTTATTTGATGAACTGCTGACAACATGTCTCTGAAATTCCAAGCAAACATTTTGTAATTATTTACAGAAAATGAGAAACGGTCAAAATAACGAAAAAGATGCATTGCTTTCGGAGCTCAAATAACGCAAAGAAAACAAGTTCACATTGATTTAGAAACAACAAGACTAATGTTTTACCTCAAAAACCATATTTGGTGTAAAAACCAGGAGGTTTTCAGTCTGGTCCAGCGCAGTGGACTCTTAGTTTTTTTTCCAGAGCTGTAATGTCTGCCACCTGGTCCGTACCCCTCAAGGACTTTTTCCACTTTGTTTTTTTTAGTTTTTTTTTTAGAATAGTTTGCTTTCACTATATTGCCATGTAGATACATGCAGACCTGCGCGCAATAAGAAGCTTGTCAGTAGTGTCAGCCGTCAGACAGAATGACTCCTTAAGTGAGTTTCTTGTCTCTGAACGTCTGTAAAAACAGTGAATCTAACTCAGAGCGGGCTGCCTTGCTCTGACAGACTGCATTCAGAGCTCAGACAAGGACGAGGATGGAAGGACGGAAGACAAAGAGCTGTATTATAGTTTTACACAAAACGCAAAAAAAAAAAAAAAAAAAAAAAAAAGTTTAACCACAAGGCCTCTGATGATGGAATCCCGTCATGCATGAGAACACGAGGGCGACCCAGAAAACACAGAGCCGTTCAGCCTCCATGCTAGAGGTAACGAGCGTCATGGAGGCTCTCCATGGTGCTGAGCTGAAACAAACTCATAGGGCGGTTAATACTGCAGCTACAATCTAATTGCTGCTTTCTCTAATAAACTCACAAATTGTACCTAGTCCTACCCAGCAGGTGGAACTGTAATAGGTGTGCTCTACTGCTGCACAATCCTGCTAGCTATTATTATTATTATTATTATTGCTTGTTAATAGTATTGTGGCATTATAAATACCACCATTGTCAATCACTTGCTTAGCCTTATGTTCGGGAGAGAGGCTGGGCTGTTTGTTTTATTTGCATCTTCTTTATGTTTGTCACAATTAGAACTGCATAACTTCTGCTATGCTATAAATAAACGCGGATGTCTTTAATCGTGGATTGTTGCCGGAACCCAAAGATGCTCTTCAGGCTTTCCAGGGGACGGCGCTTGAGATCTCAAAACCTTATAGTCATGTTTACAACAATTAAAGAGTGAGGCTAGTTAATCAATGAATTCAGGATCTGGACTTGGTCTCATAATTAGATCACTTCTGAAGGTGGCTGATTGTGGAGGACTTTAATTTTGGGGCTAACAAAGTAGACTGGGCTGGAAAAAAAATTCACACCCCCACCCTGCTGAGATTTTTACTTGAAAAGACAAAACGTCATAAATACGACTTTGTGACCTCGTTCCACGTCATAACGTTGAACTGCTTTGTGTTGATCTCATACGTAAGAATCCAATAAAGTGGATACGTGTGTGGTAAATGTAACGTCACAAAATACTAAAAGAGAGGTATAATTTACCAAACTGTAACTAATAGAGAGATTTTGATTAAGTGAACATGAAGTGAGGGTGAAGCAAATAACTTTCTGTAGCTGTTTAGCTGTAAACGTATTGTATTGGAAATAGTGTGTCTTCTTGAAGCCACAGTATCTGGATCAGAGGGCAGCATCTCGTCTGACGTCTGGCCTGGTTTGTGATCCGTCGCATGAATGAAACTGATTTCGGAGCTGCTCACTCCTCAGGCTGTTTTAGCATAATGTCATTTAATTTATGTACTGTGGCATAACCAAAACGTTAATTCCTTTTCTTAAGCGCTTAGTTTCTTTGTGAAGAGCTAATCCGGTGGTATTAAGTGCATACGCACGAAGACGGTTTGCTGCAAACCGTTGAGTCTTAAGCCAAGTTAACGCACCACCAAAATAAAAAAGAAAAGAATCACCGGAAAACGTGATCAAAACAAAACAACAAGTTGAAAACAGAGAAATGGGTTGGAAGAGAGATTACACTTCAGCAGTTGTGGGCCTCGCGGTGCCAATGTAACACTTAGGTTTTTTTTGTTTTTGTTTCACTGTTCTTGTCAAACAGCTTGAAAACAAACTGGCACTTCTGGTTAAAAAAAAAGTGAAATGTCTCAAATTATTCATGTCTTATTTTTGTTTTGTTTTTTTGTTTTTTTTAACAGCTTCTAATTGGAACTGTTGGGGACCAGGCTGGGTTAGTGTTTTTCCAGGTCTATCCACCAGAGGGCACCTTGTGGCTGTTTTTTCCCAGAGGTTGGACCAACAGGTCTTGGTTGACACACCTGCAAGAAATGATCATCACCGTGAGGAGTATATGAGCAGCAGGCGGCCAGTTCCTCCTCGCCAGAGTGTTTGCCAGCAGTGGTAAACAGAGCCCTCATAGTGTTGCTAAACAGCTTGAGATTTTGATACGTTGCTTCTTCATAGTCTAATCTGTTTTTGTGGATCCTCTCTAGGTTGTTGCATCGGAACCGTTCGAGTTACCGGAGTCTTGGAAGAATCCTCTCGTGCCGCTGCTGCACCGTTTCCTCTCGGTCTTGTGAGTTAGACCACCCTGTCCGCCCTCCAGCCCTGTGAACCACCTGAGCAGCCCACAACCTGGAAATTGCCTTGCCTACCTGGCTCCGCTTGCCTCTCCCCACTCGCTCTCCAGCCACTACAAGTAAGAACTCACGGAGTTCCCTTAGAACTGAAGTTTCCCATCCGCATTTGAACTCACCATTGCTCTCTACCTGTGTGCAGTAATTCCCGGATCCTGGACCGAAGAAAGAATAAACTCCAACTATCTTTTTTCTTTTGTCAGAGCTGTAAATAAACCTTTTGACTAAACCCATTCTCTGAGTGTTTCTGCATGTGGGTCAAGAGTCTCAAACCCATCATGACAGGAACACTTTTAGTTAGTGGGTCATTGCTTAAAAAAAAAGAAGAAAAAAAAGGGTTTACCCTAAAAATCATTTCAAATGAAATGAGCTACAGCATATCTTTTTATTCATTAATCCTGAACTAACCAAGCATTCTTCTGCGAGCTCAGAGGAACAGACTTTCAGCATGACGCCTCTGTCTGTCTGATATGTGGTGAATATTTCAGTGTTGTTGGTGATTAAAGATTCAACAGTTTGCAGTGATTTATTGTTGTGGTTTTTTTAGTTATGTATATTCTATGAGAAGTTATGATTCAGCGTATGGAGGGAAAGTAAAAGCTGAGTTTTTCTATGCGCATGTTTTCATCTGCTTAAATACCTTGAAACGAGACAAATGTGAACTCAGAAGCTAGATGTTCTTATAGAAACACATTTAAATGTGTTCTTATAGAAACAGAAGCTCTGTGTTTTATTCTGACAGACATGTATAAAAGCTACTTAAAGTGCTTAGAGTGATCTAATAGGTCATTCTGTTCAACTTTCTCTTATTCTCTTCCTGCTCAGACCTTGGCAGGCAGTATGTATGAGTTATGATAAACTGCATGGAGGTTTTGTTCTGTTTTTTTTTTGTGTGTGTGTGTGTCATTAAAGCATTTCAATTCAAGGTTCAGTGTCAAGTTAATTTAATATATAATGTATACATTTATATACATTCAGTTCCGATTTTCTTTATTAGTGTCTGTTAATTCATTTAAACTGGATCTGTTTCAGCTTCACTTATACATTGCTCCACGGTCAAATCAAATGTCAGCCCAGTCGAGTTACAGGCCATCCAGGCCCAGTTTATATCCAATAAGTTTAAATCTGGTTCAGTCCAAGACTAATGCAGTTTAAAATCAGATCCAGCTACGCTGATGACAATTTAATCCTTATTATAATACAGTACAGGTAAATTCTGATTATGAATGTGATGGTTAAAAAAAAAAAAAGTCACTGATTTTCAGCAACCTCAGATTCTGTTGCCTCGTCATGAAGTTGGTGTTGGTTGGTTTGGATCACTAAACGGTGTTAATGGTGTTTCAGAGAATCAACATTACGAAAGAAAACAAATAAAAGAACATTTTAACACCACTGAGCAGAAACGCCTTCAAGCTTCTCTGGTTGTAACTATTTTTATCAAACACAGTTTTAAAATCGGAAGGCTGCAAATAGCCAATTTGGAAAATGCCTGGACACGCATGCACGCACACACACACACACACACACAAACCCCTTTCCAATATTTTCATTTTGTCAAATCATTTGATTTTTGAGTCCATGTAAAGTTTAATAAAAAAACAAGCACAAAAATGTATTATTATTATTATTATTATTATTAATAATAATAATAATAATAATAATAAAAGAAAACTTCCAGTGTACAAAAAGTGTTGCAATTTTTCATCTTCCTTATAATAAAGAGAATAAAAAACTTACAGTTACACACTCGTGTTAAATAGGAACAGTGTTACCTTTACTTTGAGACATGATTGAAGGTCTGCATCCAATTTTATTATTTTTGTTCCATCTTCATGTGCTGACCAATATTTTGTATCTTCTGATAATTTAACTTAATCAGCTCTAACTACATGCACACACATTCACCAGGTACTTCAAGGCTGGATCATGTTTTTTTTCTTCTTTTTTTTCTTTTTTTTTTGCAGAAATGCTTTTATTCCTTATGCCACAAATTCAACAAGGATTTCAGGATGAAAGCGTTGCACGGTGGCTGCAGATTTGTGGTCTGCCCACTCACGATCTGAATCTCCTGTTTCACCACATCTCAAAGGAGCGCCGTTGGATTGAGGTTGGGTGACAGTGGGATTTGATTTGACTACAGTAAACTCATTGTCATGTTCAAAGACACAATTTGGGGTGATTGGAGCTTTTGTGAAAAAAATGCATCATCCTGCTGGAAGCTGCCACCGGAAGATGGGCACATTGTGATTGTAAAGACGCGCATCTGGTTCCCGAGGGGGCCAAGGAAAAAACAAATCCAGCTTCATTATACCAACACCATCAACACCATCAACACTACCAGCAGCAGCAGCAGCAGCAGCAGCAATGGCTTCTCCAAAATCTGACTCTGCTGAAAGAGTCTATTGGAAAATGATGAATTATGATGGCAACATTTGTCCAATTTCAGCCAGTCTTTGTAAAATGTAGTGCGGCTATTTGGTTCTTACCTCACAGCAGAAGCAGCCAGTCTAGTCAAAGATCTGTGTATTTGATTGGTTACTGGACTTTTCCGATCTACGTGCTCCGGTTGTAAAAAGTGATTATTTGTTGCCTCTAACCAGTCTGCCCATTTCACTCTGGACTCTGATACCATCAACATACAGCTCTGGGGGGACAAAAAAGAAAAAACAAAAAAGAGACCACTTAAAATGATCAGTTTCTCTGATTTTACTCTTTATAGGTTTATGTTTGAGTAAAATGAACATTGTTCTTTTATTCTATGAACTGCTGACAACATGTCTCCGAAATTCCAAGAAAAAAAAAGATGTACAGTATTTATTTGCAGAAAATAAGAAATGGTAAAAATAAGAAAAAAGACGCAGCACTTTCAGACCTCACATAATGCAAAGAAAACAAGTTCACATTGATTTAGAAACAACAATACTCATGTTTTACCTCAGGAAGAGTTCAGAAATCAATATTTGATGGAATAACCAGGAGGTTTTGAGTGGGGTTCAGTGCGGTGGGATCTGATCTGTATGTTGATGGATATTTTCTATTTTTCAAATCATTCTCTGTAACCCAGTATGTGTGTGAAAACCACAATAGATCCACCCACTATCAGCTCTATGGGTTTAACCTTTAATACATTTCCTTCCTTTTCTAAACACAACAGAATATTTGCTGTTTTTTTTTTTTTTTTAGACAACCTTCTCCTTTTTTCCTCCCACTTTCACCAAAGTACAGAAGCTGATCTGGCATTTCTGGCTCATGTTTCTGAAGACGGCACCAGTCCCAACTCTAACACAGGTACTTTGCACTGACCTTTTCCAGTTGTACACTTCCCTTTTTAACAGATTTATGAGGGCTGTTTTATGCTTATTCCACAATTACCTTCTGGAAAAGAACTCAGATCTTGCTCTTGTTAGAGCTCAGAAGCCCCTCCTCACCCTTCTTTACATGCCCTCTGCAATAAAAAGAGAATGTAAACCTTCCTGGTGGGAGATTTAACCTGAACTTCAGTTTATAGCATATTCATAGCACCGGCCTAATGGAAGATTCATGACTGAGACGTCTCCATTATTCCTTTGAAGTGCTGGATGTTGTTTGTAATGTGCATATCTGAGCGCGTTAAATAAACACCTAGCAAGCAGTTTATGCATTCAGTCTGGAAACCGAAGAGAACTTCTTAGAAACCAAAAATAGGCGAATAAAAAAAACAAACAAAAAAAAAAAACAGAGTGATCCATGGAGATTCAGATTTTCAGCTGTAAAGGTCATAACTTCATGGAGCTCCGGCGATGGATTGCTCACACATTGATTTGACAAAGCATCACCTTGTGTTTCTTGTTTTAATACGACCCATCGATCGACTGACCTTCATCTATATAAATGGACACCGGCGTTAATGTGGCCAGCGATGGATTATTCCCGCTTGATTCTGTTCGTCAGAGCTCTCAGAACTCCTGGTTTGTTAATCAATAGTCAAAGCTGCAAGCGGGTGTTTCGACCCGAGCCACAAAGTAACGAACAAAACAATATTTGCGGCATTTTTTTTATTTTTTCATTTTTTCTTTGCTTCTGACATGTTGTGGAGTGGCTTGGTGATACAGCAGTGGTTGTTCTGAAAAGGTAAAAGAAAAAGAAAATAAAATAAATAAAAAGAAAGTATTACTTATATCAAACATCATTTATTCTGAGGCAAGACACGAGAACAGGAAACGAAGCTGTACAGGGTAAAACCTGCAGAGTAAATGCAAAATTTTAGTGTTTTTTTTTTTTTTAATATATTAACTCCTGTGATTTTCTGCATTACTGCTGTTTTGTTTTTTGATTCCTTTTGATGGTTACTGAGCCATAGCAAAAGTATTCACACCTTTCTAAACTGCTTTCACATCTTATCTTATTCCATAAAAAAAAAGGATTCTCCCTGAGCCTACATGTCATGTCATTTACTTAATTCGCGTATTCAATATTTCCATTAAGTTTAGCGTATTTCATTGCGTTTCACGGCGAGACTCTAAAACCGCAACGTAAACCGCAGCATCGAGAAACACTTCTCTGCAGCCTGGAGGCCACGCTGACGACAGGAGGAAGCGAGTCGGGCTATATGTGGAATATGTCATGTAATGTAATTCATATTTCCCCCCCGCTTGAAGCCGGAAGGAATCACAACAACTCCAGGCGTCATGTCCCCGAGACATCATTAGCGATAATTAACTCTAAGCTTGTTTTTTCATCCGCGTCCCGTACGCCGTGCGTCCGCACCCGCCAAAGAGATGAAAAGAAAACAGACACCCCGTCATTACAGAAGGAAAGCGTCTACATCAAAATATTTCCTTTCCCTCTTCGTGTCCTTCATATCTGTCTGGGATCTTTAATTAAGTCTGCGGTGTCAGGAGGGGAAACCCTTATTACTCCACTGACATTTTACTTCCTTCCCCTCCCCGTTATGCAAGCGCCACGGCTTCTGTTGGGTTTGGGCGACACGTGAACGACGGGCGCCGGCGCCTGTCAAGTGCCATTTTTCCCCCCATCCTGTCATTTCTTATCTGTAAAGAATGAGTTTGGTTTGTTCGGATCCAGCCAGGTTCTGTCTCAGATGTAGAAAAGAAAGAAATATGAAGAAAAAAGACAAGACATTTTCGTGGAAACCGTTTGGTGCAAAATAGTTGAATTTAAAAGATTGTTATTTCAGAACCGGTTAGGGATCCAATTATAAGAAATAGGATCAGATGAAGGAGTTAAAAT